CTCACCTCGGAGTTTAAAGTTTCAAAATTCCCACTTGGGGTCTTAAGTGTCTGCTGTCTTCAGAGCTCCCCCCCCAAATCACCTCAGAACCTTGCTTCATAACCCTCATTTTTCTTGAAAGTAAAATACAATTAAAGGTTACCTATTGTACAATTTCTCCTTGTTTCATAAAATCAAAATGACTTTTTCATTAGCTACGGAAAAAATATCACCACCAAAAGTCTGGACATTTTTATGGTAAACAAACACTGGTCAACGAACTCTGCTTATCTGATCAAAAAAAGTAATTGAAATCAAAGATTCCTTGAACTGCTGACAAATTCTAACAGATTCTTTGTTTCTTAAAACTGCTCTGTGGGGCCTACTCTGCACCCCCACGCTGTAAACCGGCCTCCCCAGTGCCGGGAGGGCGCGCGTCCCCTGCACCGCCGCGGCCCCTCCGTGGCTGTTTGGCCACTGTCCAGTTCCGCCACTGTCTCCTCGTGGGAGCTGAAGGTCGCCCTGCAGACAGGCCTCCCGGCTGCTGCGCAGCGCGCCTGCTCGCACCATGTCCACTGCTGTCCCGCCCAGGGCGCAGGCGGGGGTTGGGGGTGCTGCTGTCGGGCCTCTCTGAATTGTTTCGGCTATGCACAGCTTTCTGCCGGAGTTCTCGAGTTGGAGAAAACCCAAATATTTGCATTACTAGATGACACCTTAAGCGTGCACTGACGCCAACGGTTTATGACCTGTAAACAGACCTGAGGCTTGAACAGTCCGTAACTGCGTTAAATGCTAAACGCAAACGTCTAACAACCCGGAGTCTGTCGCTGAGAAGAACGCGTGTGCCTGCTGGCCGCGCCCTGGGCATGCAGTCCCAGGGCGTGGGCACACACCGGCACCCCGGTTTCTCCACCACCGGCCTGGCAAACACCCTCCTCCCGGGTTCCACCCAGTGACTGACCACGTCACCAGGGTCCTTCTACAGATGCAGTGAAAAGGTCTCCAGCTGGTTTTCCTTTGGGTCCGCAAACTGAGAACGAAAGGAGTGTCCCTTTCCACTGGTCTTGAGCCAGGGGAGAATGGGGGGTGCACGCATCAGCAGCAGGCTATTCTGAGGGGCCGCAAGAAGCGGGGTGGCTGCTCTCCAGGAAACTAAAGCGCGAGTGGGGGCGGCAGAGGGGGCTTCCCCTCGGGCCTGGCCTGGGAGACCCGGCCCGCAGTGGCCAGAGCTGGACGGGAGGGCTGCGGGTGGCGGTCCAGCCTCTTGCCGCAAGGCTGAGGACAGAGAAACGGGCCGGCGTGGGCCGCGGGGAGAGCCGCAGCTGCCGCTCTGAGGCTGCGCACGCCGGGAGCGCTGCAGCGGTCGCTCCCGACTCTCCTGAGGGCAAACTGGAGCTGACGGCTCTGATGGGCGGCTGCGGCCCGGTCACCCCACAGGGAGGGGCCTGCGCCCTACCTGCCCCCGAGCGTCGCGGCTGCTCCGTGCTCAAGCCTCCGTCTCCCCGGCGCTCTGCTGGCCGCAGGCTGATGGCCTCCAGAGAAACCGTCGGAAGGCGTAAGCCTCCGTGAAGGTTTGACCTCAGTAAGCTCCGAAAATACTCAGCATCAGACGAAACCGCGCGTAAACCAGCGCAGCGGGAGCCTCACGGCGGCAGCTCCGGGCGGGGGAACACGCCCAGCTCGACTGGCAGGTGGCTGCCGCGGCGATGGTTTGACGGGACAACCTGACACAACTTCAAACGTGGGCTAAAAAGATGTGGTGCAGCACAGGCGAGAAAATAATAAGAATAATGAACAGCCATAGACCAGAGACATTTTGCAGGGGTGGAGTGGGGGACGGGATCAAAAACGGGGAGGGGAGGGAGGGAAATGCACGGGACTGTGGTGACGGCACACGGGTGACTCGGTGATGGGAAACCCGCGGGGATGACCATTGAGATAAAAACAAAACAGTGCACAAAATGATGTAAAAATAAACTTATAAAAAAAAATCTGGTACAGCAGACCAGGCGAGAACATAATAATAATAATCATAATGCACAGCTATGTACTGGAGACATTTTACAGGGTGGGAGGGAGGCGGGGTCAAAACGGCGGGGGGAGGGGAGTGCACGGGACTGTGGTGACGGCACAGGGTGAGCTGGTGACGGGAGGCCCACGGGATTGCAACTGAGATGGAAAAGTGCACAAAACGATGTAAAAATAAACTATTATGAAAAAAATCTGAAAACCAACTGCGCAGTAACACCCACGTATCAGTAACAAGTTCCTACTTTATTTCTATATTGCACATTCTTTTAGTGTCTACTGTTAGAATAAATTTACTTCTGAATGTAACTATCAGAGACTATACATGTTGCCTTGGACTAAATATTCAGATTTTCAGAACGAGAATGAAGTCGGCTTCTCAAGTGCTGCTACTTTCACGAGGAAGGCGGTTCTGTGGGACGACGACACGGGAAATGCATGTTAAACACGACAACTGATTCACCAACCATTTCAGTTCCGAAAGACACTGTCACACCTGCAGCGCTTTTGAGCTAAGGAACGGCCGCGCGGGCGACGGGCGGCTCCCGCAGAGAGCAGCTCGGGGCCACACGGCTCGCGCTTGACGGAAGACAGACGGCCAGCCCCGCCTTCCTGTCCCCGCGGAGGGCCCAGCAGGCCACGCGAAACACGGGTAGTTACGGCCACTCCCCTGGCGAGAGGCGCAGGCCCCAACGCCGGCGGCGCCCGGGCTGGGC